AACATTATTATATATGTTTAGTTTCAATGTATACACTATACAGACAGTTAACCAACATGTGTTAACATTTATATTAAAGGTTCACGTTTCAGACATTGATTGTTTACCATTACTGCGACCCTAAATCAAAGTCCCCATTAGGTCGCACCCGTTAGTGAATAAATCTCTGTCAGTGGGTTAGAAGAAGTCATGACTTTATTGGGTCTCAATGAATTTGTTAAATATATGTCTCGCAATAAGTGATGACTTCTGTGTACAATGTTCACGCCACTAGGTTGAGACGATTGGTGATGCGTATATGGTTGTGGGTGGCCTTCCAGTACCAGTTGAAACACATACAGAACGAATAGCTAACATGGCGCTTGGAATGATCATTATGTCTCTTGACGTTACTTCACCAGTCACCAAAGAACCGATTCTGGTAATATGTTTGATAAATATACAATATCAATTGATCGATCAATACTAGTGTAAAAGTCGTGTACCAATGTGTAAGTTACACTAAACTATTTTGTATATGTACAGATACGGGTTGGTATACATACTGGTCCAGTTTTAGCAGGCGTAGTCGGTAAAAAGATGCCGAGATATTGTTTATTTGGTGACACAGTTAATACTACATCTAGAATGGAAAGTCACGGCGTACCCGGTAAAATACACCTTAGTGACATATCTGCAAGGTAAACGTACACATACATTATATAAGGATGTCTGTACTGACAGCACAAGTCCTAACATCTATTGTATTTTTCATTTCATTAATTTTACACGTGAGCAGGTTATCTGTTATTTCCGTAAGAGGTTGTCACTGCGGTGGACATGTCTTGAGTTCTTGCTAAGTTTTCAAAAACTACCAGTACGATATTGCAAATACGTTGTAGTTATAATAATAATTCTAAAACGTATTGGTTTACTGCATGTACAGACGCTTAGAGGGCCGTGGTTTCCAAGTGATGAGACGTGGTGAAATTACTATCAAAGGCAAGGGTACCATGACAACGTACTTCCTAGAAGGCAATGCAAATGCTTCAGAAGATGAGCTATTGGGAACGGGTATTCAACAAAATGGCGACTATTCTCGTCAATCGGACGAAATGAAATATTCACCTTCGAAAGGTGTAAACGGTAAGCTCAGGTTGAGATCACTACAAAAACACGAATATTGCGTAATATACATTCATATACAGGTCAAAGCATCCGTAAACAGGTCAAAGTAGACAGGTCAGCGTGTCCATAGACAGGTCAGCGTGTGCATAGACAAGTCAGCGTGTTCATAGACAGGTCAGCGTGTGCATAGACAGGTCAACGTGTGCATAGACAGGACAGCGTGTGCTTAGACAGGTCAAAATGTTCATAGACAGGTCAACGTGTGCATGGACAGGTCAGCGTGTCCATAGACAGATCAACGTGTGCATAGACAGGTCAGTGTGTCCATAGGCAGGTCAACGTGCACACAGACAGGTCAGCGTGTCCATAGACAGCTCAACGTGTGCATAGACAGGTCAACGTGTCCATAGACAGGTCAGCGTGTGCATAGACAGGTCAGTGTGTCCATAGACAGGTCAACGTGTGCACAGACAGGTCAGCGTGTCCATAGACAGCTCAACGTGTGCATAGACAACTCAACGTTTTCATAGACAGGTCAACTTGTCCATAGTCAGGTCAGCGTGTGCATAGACAGGTCAGCGTGTCCATAGACAGGTGAACGTGTGCACAGACAGGTCAACGTGTGCATAGACAGGTTAACGTGTCCATAGTCAGGTCAGCGTGTGCATAGTCAGGCCAGCATGTGCATAGACATGTCAGCGTGTTCATAGACAGGTCAACGTATCCACATCCATTGACAGGTCAGCTTGTCCATAGTCAGGTCAGCGTGTGCATAGATAGGTCAGCGTGTCCATAGACAGGTCAACGTGTGTATGGACAGGTCAACGTGTCTATAGACAGCTCAACGTGTCTATAGACAGGTCAACGTGTCCATAGACAGGTCAGCGTGTACATAGGCAGGTCATCGTGTCCATATACAGGTCAACGTGTTCATAGACATGTCAACGTGTGCATGGACAGGTCAGCGTGTGCATAGACAGGTCAGCGTTTGCATATACAGGTCAACGTGTGCATAGACAGATCAACGTGTCCACAGACATGTCAGCGTGTGCATAGACAGGTCAGCGTGTCCATAGGCAGGTCAGCATGTGCATAGATAGGTCAGCGTGTGCATAGACAGGTCAGCGTGTTCATAGTCAGGTCAGCGTGTGCATAAACAGGTCAACTGTGTGCATAGAAAGGTCAGTGTATGCATAGACAGGTCAGCGTGTCCATAGACAGGTCAACGTGTACATAGACATTTCAACGTGTGCATAGACAGGTCAACGTGTGCATAGACAGGACAGCGTGTGCATAGACAGGTCAAAGTATTCATAGACAGGTCAACGTTTGCATAGACAGGTCAGCGTATCCATAGACAGACCAACGTGTGCATAGACAGGTCAGTGTGTCCATAGACAGGTCAACGTGTGCACAGACAGGTCAGCGTGTCCATAGACAGCTCAACGTGTGCATAGACAGGTCAACGTGTCCATGGACAGGTCAGCGTGTGCTTAGACAGGTCAGTGTGTCCATAGAGAAGTCAACGTGTGTACATAGACAGGTCAACGTGTCCATAGACAGGTCAACGTGTGCATATACAGGTCAGTGTGTGCATAGACAGGTCAGTGTGTGCAGAGACAGGTCAACGTGTCCACAGACATGTCAACGTGTGCATAGACAGGTCAGCGTGTGCATAGTCAGGTCAGCGTGTGCATAGACAGGTCAACGTGTGCATAGACAGGTCAACGTGTTCATAGACAGGTCAGCGTGTGCATAGAAGGGTCAGCTTGTCCATAGTCAGGTCAGCGTGTGCATAGACAGGTCAGCGTATCCATAGACAGGTCAACGTGTGTATGGACAGGTCAACGTGTCTATAGACAGGTCAACGTGTCTATAGACAGGTCAACGTGTCAATAGACAGGTCAGCGTGTGCATAGGCAGGTCAGCGTGTCCATAGACAGGTCAATGTGTTCATAGACAGGTCAACGTGTGCATAGACAGGTCAACGTGTCCACAGACATGTCAGCGTGTGCATGGACAGGTCAGTGTGTCCATAGACAGGTCAGCATGTGCATAGACATTTCAACGTGTGCATAGACAGGTCAACGTGTTCATATACAGGTCAACGTGTGCATAGATAGATCAGCGTGTGCATAGACAGGTCAACGTGGCCATAGACACGTCAACGTGTGCATATACAGGTCAGTGTGTGCATAGACAGGTCAGCTTTTGCAGAGACAGGTCAACATGTCCACAGACATGTCAACGTGTGCATAGACAGGTCAAAGTGTTCATCGTCAGGTCAGCGTGTGCATAGACAGGTCAACGTGTGCATAGAAAGGTCAGTATATGCATAGACAGGTCAGCGTGTCCATAGACAGGTCAACGTGTGCATAGACAGGTCAACGTGTCCATAGACAGGTCAGCGTGTGCATAGAAGGGTCAGCGTGTCCATAGTCAGGTCAGCGTGTGCATAGACAGGTCAAAGTGCTCGACTTTCCGCTTGCTTCCACATTATCCAACCAACTAGTCTCAGAATTGAATACTGTTGCACGATAGTCACTTGGCTATTTGGTTTGCATGTGTCATTTGCAGCTAGGTATTTAAGAGTTCACTTCTCAACTTTTTAAATTAAAATATATTTTAGCGGCAACACCAAGATTCGTTAAGTTGTTATACACACGACTGAAAGTGAACATACTGGTTAAGTTTTGTCCGATAGTTGTGATTATTTCATTATTAACTCCATTGTTTCGCTGATTACAGTTTAACGATATTACATTTAGCATTTTCTGATTAAAAACCCAACTTTTGTATTGCGTGTGTTACACGATTGAACATTCAGATATTGTAATAATCGCTTCGTTTTGTTTTTGCAATGAAAGGAAGGTAACCAGGCAGGCTATCGAGTTACCCGTTATGATTTACAACCGTACTCACAATCATCATATTTTTAATTGACATTTCAGCTGGAGGTGATAATTACAACAGTCCCGAATCGTTAATACCAATGTATTATCCAGATAACGTCAATGAAAATAAAAGACCGTCGATCACAACTGTCACGCCATTTAACAGTATGTCAAACAGTCGTCCTCCGAGTAAGTATCTTTCTGCTACGTCGGTAGTACCTGAATAGGGTGATCCCTGTTATCGCCAGTCACTTCAAACTACGCCATTAATGTGACGTCATTGTTTGCTTGTTTCTTAGTAGCTATTGTCCAGATTGATGTTATGCAGCATGTTTTAATGATATGTCATGTTTTCCCATTTCCCTTTAATTGTTCCTAGTGACCAGTGGTGACGTTATAATCGGTAATGTTAAAGTCAACGAAAGAACAACCCGAAAATAATTTTAAGTTTCCTTAGAATTAAAGGTAAAACAACTACAACACAATATTCACTATGATTGTAATGTTCCTCGGCTTTTCACCTGCCTTGCCATTGTGACATAATTCAGATGTCCGAAAATGTGTGTTGCATCTATCGAGCACGATTGGTTGAATGTAACATGACTTCATACAATAGTAAACTAACACTTCTTTAGTCACATTATGACATTATTTGCACTCTACTAACAAAACTGCATGCCTATGTTAATTAATTCACAAAACGTGTGCTTTTTGCTTAATCATGTGGGTGTTGGTGTTTCATTAGATACACGCTATGTTTTACCTTATATTCCTTATGTCTACACATTTTTACATTATGTTCGTACATACTTACTTACTTCATTTCAACAAAATGTATCTATATATTTCACTTTATATTCACTCTAGGCACAAATCTAGGATCGGCGTCATCTCTTGTGAATCAGAAGACAGTGGAAAACTATGGAAGTGAGTCTACCATAAACAAAAAGTCCGGCTCAAAAGCATGCGTTATTCAGTAGTTTTAAAATAAGTAAAAAAACCTGAACTAGTATATGATATTGCATTATATGACAGGATATGACAACACATATGTGTAGAATGTTGGCTCTGTACGATTATCTGCAACTAACTGTCAGTAGCATTGAGACGTTGTGTGCTGAGTTATTACGTATGTGTGACGTCACCTTTCAGTCGATGTCCGCCATTATAACCGAATGTGCAGTGCTGTTTGTCTTGTTAATGAGTTATATATTGTGTGTTATTTAATAGCTAGTAACGCGTACAGAAACTATATTGTCTGTCTTATCGGAACATTGCTGCTGAGTTTATTTTTGCGTATTAAACAACAATAATGTACGTAACCTGATAGCCTCGGGGCGTATATATATATATATATATATATATATATATATATATATATATATATATATATATATATATATATATATATATATATATATTAGTATTGCTTTTGAAAAAGATAGAGAATTTGGTTGCATGCTGCCCTCTATGTTTTATAGTTGGCCATGCTGTGTACTTTCGTTTTCTTTGAGCGTAGACCGTACCAGGGGGGGGGGGATACATAGAACTTGCCTAATGGCTACTCAGATAGTGTCCCCTCTGATAATCTTTAAGTGTATCAGAGGGCATTGGTTTGCCGTATAATGGCTGGATATAATGTGAGGATTGACTGCATTGCAATATCAAGAGCTGGCTGCTTTTTATATCTTTTCACTTTGTAATGGTTCTTAGCGGTTAGTACATTTCGTCAGATAAAGAGTACTTCAAAACATGGCGGCCTCCTATGTAGAATATGTATTGTTGTTCCCAATAATTAGTTTTACACTGGGAGATTGCTAGATTACACAAGATTTCCAAGTCATGCTTGTTTCCATGTTGGTATACACTTCATGTATAGTATAGGCAGGCAAGTACTTGTCAGGTCCTATAATGTATAATGTATAGGGCTAGTATTGTTCAAATCAGTCCTGTATTTTTTTTTCTTTATACTTTATTTCTGCTGTCTTTATACTCGATGTAAATTAGTGATGTGATTTGATGTTATCCAGACAGTAATTATGTGTTATAACACCATGTGTTTACGTTCACCTACATGATACAGGTCAATTATTGTACGTTTTGAAACTAGTGACAGATGTATATATCACAGGGTATATTATTAAAGCATGTTCTACTTTCAACCTTCCAGCTTGGACAACATTTTACTGCAGGTTTATTTCTAGATAGAATCGTTAGATATTGCTAATCGTCAGGTTGCAGATGTGTGTCACATATTCAACAGATAATAAAATAGTGATTTGAATTGAATTTCATTATGTTCATTTAATGTTCATTATTTCAATACTATATTTGAACAGCGGAAAATTGTCAGATTAGATAAAACAGTACATCGTGACAGAATATCACATGCATCCAAATCTAGTGTTGAAAGTAGTTGTGACTGATGTCAGTTTTACAAAATACATTGTATAACGAACCAGATAACTGAAGACGAGTTTTATTTTTTCTGTATTTTCGTGTTTACTGACAAACGGTAAAATCATGACTTGTATTTTTCAATGATGATCTAAACAAGTGCAATGGGTGTATGTGCGATATCCCCTTTTAGCTAAGCGTTGCTATAGCAATTAGATATGATATTAATGAAATGCTTTTGGGGACATAGACGCCGACTAAAAGTTTTCCACACTAAAATACCTTACGACTCGTTGCGCTCCATAATTTATTATGTGAAACTTTCTCAATAAAAAATATTATTGTAAATAATTCATAATTACTGTTGAACGAATGACAGTAATATAAATGTAAGTTCTTACTCAGACAATATGAAGCCAATGCAATACCTCGTGGTGTATCACTATTTGATTGTTAGATTTCATCATTTCAATAGTGTAATGTTCAGTTCGTTCACACGAAATTGTTCTATTGTATATATAGTGCGTGTTACACGTATGCTGTAAGTGAGGGCAAATGACAAAAGTGATAAAACAAGTTAAACTAATCCAACTGCCAGTGCACTATTCACATAGTTTTGCGAGACGTGTTTCTTGGATATCTTTATTTTGCTTGTTATTGTGATGTTCAAATTCAAGTTGTTAACTGTCTATTAAAGGGCTATAATAATATCTACTTACAGACAAATAAAATAGTGGTTTAAAGAGAATGTATAAAATACCTACTTACAGACAGATAACATAGTGGTTCACAGACAATGTATAAAATACCTACTTGCAGACAGATAACATAGTGGTTCACAGACAATGTATAAAATACCTACTTACAGACAGATGACATAGTGGTTCACAGACAATGTATAATATACCTACTTACAAACAGATGACATGGTGGTTTACAGACAATGTATAAAATACCTACTTACAGACAGATGACATAGTGGTTCACAGACAATGTATATAATGCCTACTTACAGACAGATAACATGGTGGTTTAAATACAATGTATAAAATACCTACTTACAGACAGATAACATGGTGGTTTACAGACAATGTATAAAATACCCTACTTATATACAGATAACATGGTGATTCACAGACAATGTATAAACTACCTACTTACAGACAGATGACATAGTGGTTCACAGACAATGTATAAAATACCTACTTACAGACAGATGACATGGTGGTAT